GTGAGCGATTTCGGCGAATAGGTAATACGCTGAGTATCGTTCAAGCTGTCCAAATTGATAAGTGACATGAAGGAGCCGAATATGGCTGAAGTGCATCAGTGTTACTGTATGAACGTGTTCAGAATGCGTGCCCAATTTCAGGTACGGTTAGCGGGTCCTGCCCGCGGGCCATAGTTTGATGGCCCCTAATCTAGAAGATTGTATTGTTGACTCAGTTTCAGGATATTGACCCTCAGGTTGATGTTCGGGTTGAATTTTAATACGTGGCTACGTAAGTGACTGGCGCCGCCCAGTATTTGGTAACATATTATGAGGTCTTCAGGTAGCCGTCGGTAGCGTTCACTGAACACCCCGAATGTCTTCCACCGTTGCTGGTACAGGAGGCTGGACAATCCCCTAACAAATTTCGTTGTTGGACGTCGGCGATTCTAGAGCGCTGCAACATCTCGTTTGAGCCAAGGATGCGCAGTCTATATTGTGTATTGGACATTGGGACGCAAGTAGGCGTTGAGTATCAAAGAGAAGATGGAGGAATCCAACCCCCCGAAAGACTTCCGCAAGAGGGCAACATGCTGATGGCCTCTCCTTGAATCGGACTCAGACTGTCGGTAACAGCCCATATTGTTTCGCACCAAAACACAGAGGGCAAATTCCTGAGAGGTGAACTGCGGATCGTGCCTGACTCGGAAGTATTGTATTGTGGAGTTGGTTGGGTGGCTTGCATACTCATTCCATGCGCATGTATCAACCGGTTTAAAATTGAGTTACTACAACTACTACGGATGACAGATACACGAGAAAGCCAAACATTTTTGTGATACTCGTTGACGCTGGATCAGTCTACTGATCTCTTGGGTACGTCACAGACTCTCGTGGTGAATTTTCATATTACGGAAGATTTGGCATCGGTCTGTAGCATGCATGGGACAACAGTTAAGGAAATTTTCGTGGAACCACACAAAATGTTACAAGACTATATATGACCTTCCGTGGAATCGACTTCCAGGTGTTACAATTGGTGAAGGGAGAAACACGGCTGTAGTGGGGAAATGTCTGTTAGAACAGAGCAGGAATCATCTGGAAGATTCGCAAATTTCGGCCACTCTGTTCATACACTGCATCTTACATCAACACGCACTCTGAGGGGAAAAATTAGGTATCTCTTGCGCACTAAAACCTCTCAGCCAGCTCTCTCGGGTTCGAAATTTTGCCCGGCGTACGTCTATTTGAATAGTCTAGACCATGGTGAAACCGTTTGTTCCTTTTTAATAATCAGTATCGCGGTAACCCGACACTCATATTCTTACCTAATGAGAGATTACCTGCTCTGAGTTCCCATTTCTAATACACCCTGACTTCAACTTCTGATAGTTGAGAGCTACCCGACTTACATTACTCGAGTTGAGGTTCTAGTCTCTTGTTGCAGACGAAAGAGGAGAATTCACTAATGATAGTACACTGATAAACCACAGCTATACCACAACGATCATTTCATTGAGCCCCCTAGTCTTTAAGGACCTTGCAGCCTCATCATCCGCCAGAGTATCTGCACACTTACTGATCAGCGCACATGTCGCAGTGTTTCTTGCCTCAAAATTTTCCTTTTATTGATTATTCTGCAACTCTTCCTTTGTTTTCTTTTTATATATTAGCACTTGTGGTTGTGAAACGCATTTCCTTCACTTATGCTTCAAATACGACACGTTGCTATAATTCACCGAGGTATCATAGAACATTTGGAGCCTATGGTACCAGTTAACCCTAGAGACACACTTCCGGTCCAACATTCCAGTGGGATTAGACTTAGTTGGTCCAGTCATCCCACATTGTTTTAGATCTACCAGTCCTCTCAAGTCCAAGGGTTCTCATTGAGCCACGACGTTGACTGCCGTTTGCCTTCCGCGTCTAGTGTGCGAACTGATCTTCCGTCTGTATAGTTATTTCCGAGGTCTGTACATCATGACCGCGTGGTTTCATCGCGTTCAATAGTAGCCGTCGTCCTTTCCGGTCATTTCTGCACTCTTTCACCCATCAGAGATGTCGCCTTCAAACACTTCTACTCCCTTGATTAGGCGTTTTCTGTTGCTTAATGCAGTGTCCAAGGTACTAACATTCAACAGCAACCATTTTGGTGCAAACAGTTTGACGGTCAATTGTAGGTCACAGGGTTGAAATTTTGTTAGGACACACACAGACCTTCGGTGTTGTCTTCCGGAAGAGCATTGCACTTCACTTCCAGTTCCTTGTTCAAACTCTACTGTCACTGCCTTGAGTGATGCATCGACTTCTCTAATTTTATGAGCTTGGGTGGATGTCAGTTGCATAGTGCTGCAGAGATTTTGACATTATAGATACCATCTGTGGAATGAAGTAAGTAGGCACATCAGTTGTATTTGACAGTATACTTGATTCGTTTTGAAATCGCTCCCATTGTATACTACCTCGGATCACACGTTCAGCGTAGTTACATGTGAGGCTAATTTCGGCACATGGAGCAACCTTCAGTTCACTCGTAAGGAATAGACACATGAACATTGACCTCTAAGACATCAACGTGTGATGTCGCATGTGCTAAAAACTTGCTGTCTACCGCGTAAACGTTGGAATAATGTTGCGCCTGAACAACAGGTGCTAATTCAAATAGTGAATAATTCCTACTTCAGTCCTGAGGCGGCACTATAGCACACAAGCTGATTAACGGTAATTCCTTGTCAGGTCAAATACAACATATTTAAAAAGTTAAGAAAGAGTGGAATCATTGCTCACTGCCCCATCCGCAGCTTTCCAGACATCCCATGGGGCGAACGTTCTCGACTTAACCGCAACTTAGAGGACTACCGGAAGAAAATTTAATCAGAACCATACTTCTTCACGAGGTTCCTGAAATTGCAGCATGTGATTAACATGAAAGAACAACCCATGATAAAGAACAGTAGTGTTATCGTCGTGAAACACTCCGCTTGGAAGGTGTGTTAGCGAAGTCCATGTCACGACTGCTTACCTCACCGAACTACATAGGAAGTTGCCCGAGGGTGTTAAAAGTGGTCCTTCAGTCAACACATATGATAGCACGGATGCTAAAAGGCAGGTACCTGTTCCGTTGCAGGCTACCATCTGAGGTTCGACTAAAGACAGTCAGCGATATGCCTCCTAGAGATGATATGTCACTCAACGAACCAAACGGGATGGGATCTATGAAATAACAGTGCACCAGTAGTGTGCTGAATGAGTCCATACGACCTGTAGAAAATGATATTGACCAGATACCTTACACTGTACGTAGAAGATTAGAAACGGGACTAAGTACACGGACGATGAATAAAACGTTAAACCCTTCACCAAGTACACATCGAAAAAACGATTAGTTGCCGGCCACTCACTGGTCGGCGAAACTTCACGTATGAGTTGTACAACCTTTGAAACTGCTTAAATCTGAGAAACTAAGGTTATTTATGCAGAGCGCAGACGCAGACGTCAAACCGAAGCTATGACGCTGCTTGATTTCTACGTGTAGTCTTAACGGATCGCGGGCTAGTATACACCATTTAATCCCGCTTTGCGTCCTCTTGCCAAAATCGGAACAACTGCTGAAGGATATCGGATAGTTCTCGCAAAAACTGCAATACCTTCCAAGTCACTCTGTGCTCCGCTCTGCAATGGATTTTTCCTTACCCATCTCAACCTACGTCAACCAAATTCCAATCATTCGGCTCGGAATTGTCAGCTCTATCCAACAACCACTTGGCCAGCTCCATACCATCGCAAACTACAACTCTTGGCGGTACTTTGAGCCACATTTCCTGATACGACCAGCAAATCGGCTTTCACACTATCGACCCCTAGGTCCATCGTGTGGACTACATCTCACCGACAACCGACGCTAAACGGCATCGATCAATAGATGCAAGTTTTCTCGCACCCCAAAGCCACTGGACCTTGCGTGCGTGTCACAACGTGCGAGCGGATCACTTTAACGTCAGATTGTCATTTACCACCAGCCCGGGAGAGTACTCCATAGACCCGTGCACATTACGAACAAACGAGACTAATGAACAGACCGCGCAGGTGACAAAGAAACCAAAGAACTGCCCCATCAGCGTAGGCAACCCGGAATTTAACCCGGTTGGTTTGCACCACTTATAGTAGTAAACTGCGTCATAATTTCTTCTCGTCCCCCTGCGGTTGTATTCCTACTCAACACTTATTAGACATACACTTAGTACCATAACATTCTTCCGAGTACCCACTAGAAATGCCTGTTAACCATGTGAAAACGAGAAGCGCCCTCATCAGGCTGAAGTCGAAAACAGAAGACTATAAAACCATCTGATAGCACTGCTAAAAACCCACCAATAGATCGTTGAACTCCAGAATAAGGGAACATGTACCTAAACGGTTGCAGCATCAAATCACCTAGTCGTCGGTTGCTTATACCATCTGTTCACATAATCCACCTGCTTCATCCATATGTAGGCATTTGCTGGCCACCTGTCATCAGTTTGCACCTGCGAAAGTGTTTACAATCGTGTTAAGACATGCTAACGCCCGTTTCCTACGTTTCGCCGAGACGTTCGTGACCAGCCGCATGAAACCTGCACTCTGTGTACCAGTCGTTCGTAAGCCTACGGCTGCCCTGGGCTTAGGTGTGTCACGTCTGCCCCCTACCCTGCACTAACTTGTTTCGGTCTCACCCTACCTGTCAACTTATATATTTTCATATTATTGTATTGGCACTGAAGAGACAATACGAAATGTTGACATCTGCCATTGTTCGTCTTCTTACGACGTTCTTAAAAAGGGACGTCCATCACCTAAATTCAAAAAAGTCGATCTAGCTGCAAACCACTCCAACTTTACTACCACAATTCCGACTGAAACGACAGATCGGATTATAGCCCTTGAGGAAGAAGCAGCCAAGCTGAAATGCAAGCTTCATGAATTCAGCACATACTATGAACAAGTTCTATCCTTTTGTTAATTGCTTAGAGGTTCAGAAATTG